TTCAAAATGACCAATATCTGCCTATCTCAACTCACTAATGGATAAGATTTTAATCTTTAGGGATTTCATTTAATTCTAGACAACTTACTATTTTTTAGATTCATATTTTGCACATTCCATATTCCAATTTTAAATGGACGTTTGCTGCTGTTTCTGTTTTGAGTCTTATTATACCAGCAAATGAAGGTCTTTCATTGAGTGAAACTTGAGTCTACTGCTGTTATTGTGGTAGACTCTACTTTGAGAAAGCAGCTCTTGTCTAGTTGCATTTTTTGTGTCTTCCAACCAAATCTGTCATCTTCTGGCCCTATATCCAACAATATTCTCCTATTACTCACAGAATTTTCAAAGCCTGCTATTTCAGTAGTGCATAACCAGTCCTGCTTTTTAGTCTGTCTTAATCTTGAAACTCTGCTGATACCTGCCCACCTAATATGATCATAGCTTCCTGCATTACAGCAACAAGAAAGCTACCACAGTATGGTAAACTGACAGACTCTCAGAATATTATAATCCAATCAAGAAATTACAATGGTCTTGAACATACCATGGACCACCAAGAAAACAAATAGGTCTGTCCTGGAGAGGGTGAAACCAAGTTTCTCCGTGAGGACTAGGATTTTGAAGCTCCATCTCACATACTTCGAACATGTGGCCAGGAGGGACTGGTCCTAGGATAAGGATCTCATGCTTGGGAGGGTGGAGAAACAGCACAGGAGAAGAAGACCCTGGATGAGATTGATACAGTAACTGGGGCAATGGGGGTAGGTGTGTCAGAGTCAGTGAGACTGTCTCAGAACAGGGCAGCATTCAGAGCTTTTATACAGTGGGTCATTATGAGTTGTAGTTGACTCAACAGTACATAACAACAACAGTAGCCTGACAACTGGTATCCTTGCCTTAGCATTGCCCTCTTCCAATTAATTCTCTAAACATCAACAAATCTTGTCAAAAACAAAAATGATAGAGTAAAACTTATAATTCACTTGGTTGAAGCCCTTAAGTGGAATAAAACCTAGACTTTTTACTCAAGTTGCCTGATCTGCTCCTGCTTCCCTTCCTTAACTCAATATTGTTCCACTCCCTATTCACTGACTCAACAACCATGACCTTATTTATTTCTTCACAATGACCTTTTGACCACCCATAAAACATACCACGTTCTTTCCCCACCCAAAGACTCAAAGAGTTTCTCCAGTTAGAATGCCTTCTTTTGAGTTATTCACTTGATAGCTCTTGTTTACCCTTTAGGCCACAGCTTGCCCTTACAAAAGCCTTCTATGATTCTTCTAAAGTTATCGTTGTTTCTAAATCACAGTCCAGAGTTTGTTTATTCAATACCATTGCCATCAATTTCAATTAATAGCAACTCTTTGGGACACAGAATGGCCCTATACTCTTTCCAAAGCTGTAAATCTGTGTGCACATAAACCATCTGTAGAGTGACTGGTGGATATGTACTCCATGGCACTTAGACAATTCAGAACGATTTCCCTCCTCTTTACTGTCTAGCACAGTGTCAGCCCATAGTTAGCATGAAGTCCCAAATCCTTAGTTTATAGATTATTACACTACTCATTGAATCCAGAGTTTACTAGGGACTACTCCTGGGGATAGCACCTCTAAGGAAACAAACAAAAGGTAGGATTGTGTAGACAGGAAAATTGAACTGTAATAGAGTTGCAATCAAAGTCTCACCAGAAGCTCTGAAGCTGTGGGAATGGCCCTACCAGACTTGTCTGGAATTGAGGCAAGAGTATTGGGCCTTCATGTGCCTACATTACTGGCTGTATCTGAGGAGATGTAACCTTGGACTATACTAGCCTAATGTTTACTAGTTGTTGTTTCTGTTATGTGCCATTGAGTCCAGTATGACTCACAACAACCTTTTGAACAGCGTATCTGAACCCGAGCAGATTCTGTACCATCCTCATCGCCTCTGATATACTTGATCTGATTGCTGCAGACACCATGTCAGACCATCTTGTTAAAGGTCGTCTTCTCTTTCGCTGACCCCCCACCTTTCGAGGCATGATGTCACTTTCCAAGGCATAGCCCTTCCTAACAACATGCTCAAAGTGAGATGAAGAGTCACCATTCTTGCCATTAAAGAGCATTCTGGCTGCACTTTTTTGAAGATACATATGTTTGTTCTTTTAGCAGTACACGGGACATTTATCACTCTTCTCCAGCACCACAACTCAAATGTCTTAATCTTTCTTCTGTCATTCATATTCATTGGACAGCTCTCAGATGCATAGCAAATATTGAAAAGATCATGGCTTGAATCAGGCACACCTTAGCCTTTAAGCTAATATCATTGCCCTTCAATACTTTGGAGAGGTCCCTGACAAAAGACTTTCCCAATGTAATATATATTTTGATTTTTTGACTGGTGGTACTTACAGTATTGATTAGGAATCTAAGCAAGATTAAATAATTGACAACTTCAATCTTTTCTCCATCTATGTCTATCTGTGTCTCATTGATTATGCAAAGGCATTTGACTTGTGGATCATAACAAACTGTGGCTTACTCTGAGAAGAATGGGAATCCCAGAACATTTAATTGTGCTAATGCGAAACCTATACTTGGACCAAGAGGCAGTAGTCAGAACAGAGCAGGGCAACACTGCATGGTTCAAAATTGGGAAGGGTGTACGCCAGGGATGCATCCTGTCTCCATACCTTTTCAACATGTATGCAGAGCAGATTATCTGAGAGGCTGGGCTCTATGAGGAGAATTGTGGCATCAGGATTGGTGGAAGATCTATTAACAATCTGTGTTATGCAGATGACACAACCCTGCTTGCTGAAACTGAGGAGGACCTCATGCACTTGCTGCGAAGGGTCAAGGACTGCAGCCTTCAGTATGGACTGAGGCTCAATGTCAAGAAGACAAAGATTCTCACCACTGGACCAATTGGCAGCGTCAGGATGGATGATGAAGAGATTGAGAGTGTTCACAGCTTCAGTTTGCTCGGCTCCACAGTCAACACCCTTGGCACCAGCAGTCAGGAAATCAAAAAGCGTATCATGATGGGAAAGTCTGCTGTTAGGGACCTCTCTAAAGTACTCAAGAGCAACAGTGTCTCTCTGGAGACTAAGGTGCGCCTAATACAGGCCATGGTCTTTGCAATCGCTTGTTATGCATCAGAGAGTTGGACAATGACTAGGGAGGACAGAAGGAGAGTGGATGCTTTTGAGCTGTGGTGTTGGAGAAGGGTACTGAATATACCACTGCCAGGAAAACAAACAGATTCATCTTGGAGAGGATTAAACCAAGCTACTCCTTGGAGGCAAGGATTCTGGGGCTTCGGCTGACATACTTTGGACATGTTGCCAGGAGGAACGGGTCCTTGGAGAGGGACATCATGCTTGGGAGTGTGGAGGGACAGCGCAGGAGGGGAAGACCCTCTATGAGATGGATTGATTCGGTGACTGGGGTAATCGGGATGGGTGTGTCAGAGGCAGTGCAGTTGGCACAGGATAGAGCAGGGTTTAGGACTGTTGTGCATAGGGTCGCTATGAGTCGGAAACGACTCGACAGCACATAACAACAACAACAACATCTTGATGTTGCCTATTGGCCCAGTGGTGAGGATCTTTGTTGTTATTGTTCTTTTGTTTTGTTTTTTTATATGTTAAGATGTAATCCATGTTGCAAGTTGTGTAGCCTTTGAACTTCTGCAATAAGTGTTTCAAGTCATTCTCACTTTTACCAAGCAAGGTAGTGTCAACTGCATAAAGGAGATTGTTAATAAGTCTTCTTCCAATTTTGATACCACATTCTTCATCATAAAATACTGTTTCTCAAATGATATGTTTACTGGAAGGAGTTATTATTCAAAGTTCTTGGCTTATTTCACACTCACAACACTCCTATGAGATATATAGTCATCATTTCCATTTAATCATGAGAAAACGCAGACACAAAAATGTATTATAATTTATCCCATGTCATAGAGCTAAGAGAGAACAAGTCAAGATTTAAGTCCAGGGATTTTGGTTTCAGCCTGTTTGTTCTTATTCACCTACGGTACCACAATGTTGAAAAGACATTGTAAAATTGCAATTCTAAAATTAACATAAAGAATCTGATCTTCATCCTTGTTTTATAATGGATTAATTGAAAGAATAGCACATATCACTGTGTCTGATCTTCAGGTTGTTTGTTATTTTTTTTTTAATACTCTCATCACTTTTCTTCCTGATGATTTATTTGACTCTTCTGTGAAATAAGCAGTGAAATTTCAAGATCTTAATAAGCAAAATATAAATATTTTAATGCCAATTCTAGCAAGATTTAATGTCATCTGATTTGTCTGAGTGGTGAAGGCTTTAATATCTGTGACACCATGCTTTGAAATTCCCCTCCCTCAAATCTCTATACAAATTCATTTATCTATTCAGTGTACAAGCTCCCTGGTGGACTAGTCAGTAAAGTGTCAGGCTGCTTATTGAAAGGTTGATGGTTTGAATCCATCATCCTCTGCAGGAGAATGATGAGCAATCTCCTCCCATAAAGATTTCCAGCCTTGGAAACTAGATGGACAATGAACTGGAACTGACTCCACGGCAGGGTTTAGTATTTCATTCAGCACTTAGGAATATCAATTAAGAGCCCACTTAGGAGTTATAAAGCTTTACAGACCTGTGTATATTTTCACCAGAGTTTATTTACAGAATATATTTAAAGTATTGATTGTCTTTTTCTCTCAAATTTGTCAACTGTCTAATAACAAAGAAAGCATAATATGAAAAATTTTTCCAGTTCAGTGTGTGTCTTAAATCTTAGAAATCAGTTGTGATAAGAGTTTGAAGTAGGGAGATGGGATTTTCATTTTTCACTCTGATGCTGAGCTAGTTATGTGATCTTGGGGGGAAAAAAACCCACCTCCAAACAAAACAACAACCCCACAATTACTAATTTTAAATGATTTATGGAAAAACAAAGAATTTTAGTACATTATATCAATTATACTATTTCTTTTCTTTTAGGAATCTGACTTTTTTTGTCTTCTTGGAGGAAATTACATATTTGAAAATGAAGATAATGAGTTAAACAGTGATACTTGTGACCCTAACTATCTATTTGAAGAAGATGAAGACCAAATATCGAGTTTCTATGAACATAATACCCACATAGATTCTGGATTTTATTCAACTTCTGAAAGTACTTTGTTAAAAGACCAATTTCTAGCAGTAGAGACCCCAGATGATACCAGCAGTATCAGTGAATCAAAAGCCTTGGAAGAGGTAGAAACTGAAAATGTGCAACAGGATAATGTCCAAGAAGAGACTCTAGGTCACATTCCAGAAGTGGATCATGCCCCACCAGCCTCAGCTGTGCCTGAAGGGATGGGATGGTTTGCACTGACAACAGAACAAACTGACAGACAAACCTTTGAACCAGTTATTGAACCTGTGCAAGAAAGCTCCTTTCAAAGTAGAAAAATCGCAGTGTTAGATGAGAATGACCTAGAGGAATTAAATAACAATGAGCATCAAATAAAGCATAACCAAGAACCTGACTTAGAAATTGATGCAGTGCCAGATAAACAATCTGAAATAACATCTGAATCTGAGCACATTCTCAAACCTCAGGCCACTGGTTGGTTTGGAAGTGGATTTACAAGTTACTTAGGTTTTGGAGATCAGGATACCAGCCTTGAATTATTGTCTAAAGAAAGTAATCAACCACTTCAAGATGTGCCTAATCCGATATCATCTGATGAAGAAACTACAGTTCCATGTGAAGAAATAATAGTAGAAGAAGACCCTATTATTAATGATAGCTCAACTCTCAAGTCAAGTTGGTTTGATTTTGGTTTTGGTATGCTAGGTTTTGCACATGTTAAGGAAGATAAAATGATATCCGATGGTATAAAAAATGAAGAAAAAATTGGAGGTGATAAAAATGAACCTCCTCCTCTAGCAAGTGAATCTGATCTTGACAAGAAACAAGAAACAGAAATATCAGAAATTATGGAAACTGAAGATCAAATAAACAAGAAAACCAACTTAGAGAAAACAGATGATTCTGATACCGTACCATATTTTAAAAGGTTCTTATATAATTTTGATAATCCTTGGAGCACCCAGAAAATTCCAAAGGATAAAGAATTGTTATTTCCCAAACAGACAGGAGATGAAGGAAATGGAATTGAAAATGAACAAACAGAAGAATTTTCAGTTGAAAATGATCCTACAGATAATACAATGTCTAAAAGCAGTTCCAGCACCTCAGGTTGGTATGAAAATGTCTATCACATAGTTCATTTTTAAATATACAGTTTATTTTAACATAATTTGCTTATAAAAGTACATATTTAAAGAAAGATAATTTGAAGAGTCCATGTTTCTCAAAATGTTCAAAAGCTGACAATGACTTTCCCAATCCAGTAAAACAATTTCAACTTTAGTCTCTCAGTTCTGGAGCTTAACACAGGCAACAGTAGAGAGTAGAGTGTCAGAGGCTCTTTCTAGAGCTCAGAAGCCTTGGTAGCAAACTGTGTGATCTAACAGGCCACTAACTGAGAGATTGATAGTTAAATCAACCACCCCTGCTCTGAAGAAAGATGAGCATCTCATTGAGTCAGAACTGACTTGACAGTACTGGATTTAGTGGCGATGTCCATGTTATCTAGGAATTCCTAGGATTAAAACACATGTATTTTACTTTAAGTAAATAATTATATAACAGACAAATGAGACACTCAGCAAATACAGGATGATAGTGCAGAAGCACCTAAACCCTGAAATTATAGGAAAATCTTTCATGGAAAGAGATCAACAATGTTGAACACTGCTGGAAGCACAATTCTATTAGAACAAGTTGATTTTCCTGAACTTAGAAAAACTCTATGTCATTTCATAATACCTCCCAAGATGTGAGCTATCTATTTGCTCACCATCTTCAAACAGCACATAGATATTTACATTCTACCTCTAGTGACATAATGCTAAAAGGTTGCACTGCACCAAGTTGGAATCCACCAGTGCTCTGCAGGAAGAAGATGGACAATCTTCTTCAGTGCTATTTACAGCCTCTGATAACCCACTGGAAGGTCAGCTGTGAGTTGCTTTGGACTTAATGGCAATGAGACAGTTTTCGTTTTTATCCCTTTTCCAAATGAGGGAAGAGTAGGTTTGATGAATTTAGTGACTAAACAAAGAACAAGCAATTACTGTTATCGTTAAGCGCTATTGAGTTTTAACTCTGACTCATAGTGATCTAATCAATATATGACAAATCGAAACCTTGTTAATCCCATGCCTTTCTCACTATCTTTCCTCTACTTCAACCCGTGGTTGCAGTCACTGTGTTAATCCTTCTTGTTGAGGATTTTTCTTTCCCTCACTGATTCTCCACTTTTCCAATCAGAATGTACTTCTTCTTCAAAGACTGACCCTTACTGACAAAATGCCCAAAGTATTTGAGATAGTCTTACCATGCTTGCTTCCAAGGAGCATTCTAGCTATACTTCTTCCAGAAATTTTGTTGTTCTTAACTTGTTAGATTTTAAAAGAATATATTTTTCAAGTGGTTTAAAATCCAAGGCCTTTAATTGTTTTCAGTAATTACCATAGAACCTTCACAAGACCTCTTTTACACTGTAACTAGAAGGCACTAGGCGTTATTAAAAGAATATTTGTGAAAGTGCAACAATGAGTGAATGGAAATCCAAAATCTCTGTAAATTTTCATTGAAATTAATAATAAATTTAAACAACAACAACAAAAAAGAATATTTGTGAATAAGCAGTTCAGAGTAATTAGAAAGAAGAGAAAAACAAAAAAAAATTAAAAGAAGAAGCAAACTAAAATAAAATAAAAAAGAAAGACAAAACTAAGAAAAAAAACTCCCCCCAAAATCAAAACAAACCAACAACAAAATCAAGTTCAGAATAAAAAAAATTCAAAATACTGATATAGAAATATTTTCTATTTTATTCATAGAAATTCTAAAAATTCTAAAGGTAAATTTTATTTTTTACATAGCAGTTCCAAGAAAACTTTCAATTATAAAATCTTGATGAATTGAAGGGGAGCTCTGGTGGCCTAGTGGCAAGAAGCTGCAACTACAATCCCAGAGGCACACGGTTCGAATCCACCAGATGCTCTGCCGGGGAAGGAGGGACAATCTCCTCCTCTACCAGTCAGATCTGATTTGACGGTACACTCACACAAAAATAATAAAATAAAATAAATCTTCATGAATTGTCAAATAAGAATGTTTATGCAGTTGTAATTGGCTTTGACAGACTTTTATAGAAACATTTAGAAATTATTTTAAATCTCAAGGGGGAAAAAAGATAGAAATTTGTAAAAAAAAACCCATGCAAAATTAGTGAAAAGCAAAACCAAACTGAAATCATGCTGGAATTTGTGGGGTTATTTATTTTTTAAAAAATTTTATTATTTAAAAACAAAAAAACCAAACAAACAAAAAAAATTTTATTATTTTGTGTGCATACCGTCAAATCGGATTGACTGGTACAGGAGGAGATTGTTCCTCCTTCTCCAGCAGAGCAGCTGGTGGATTCTAACTGCACACCTCTGGGATTAAAGTGCAGCTTCTTGCCATTAGGCCAACAGAGCTCCCTTGGAATTTGGTTTTTCAAAAAAGAATTCTAAAAGAGGAAATTAGATAAAGCTGTAGATAGGTCTATTTTCTGGATTTTGGAGAAATAACTGGGGCAATAAAACTTTTTATATAATCTTAATAATATTTTTAAAATTAAGATTAGTAGCTAATAGTAATGAAGAAGGAATTGGAAGCTTCATGGAAGGCACTGGCGAAAAATAAGGCCACAGGAATTGATGAGATACCTACTGACTTGCTTCAATCAACAGATGCAGCCTTGGATGCTCTCACCAGTCTATGCCAGAAAATTTGGAGGACAGCTGTCTGGCCAACAGATTGGAAGAGGTCCATATTTGTTCCCATTCCCAAGAAAGGTGATCCAAATGAATGTGGAAACTATTGAACAATATCATTAATATCACATGCAAGCAAAATACTACTGAAGATCATTAAAAAACAGCTAGAACAGGTCAAAGATAGGGAACTGCCAGAAGTTCAGGCAGGATTTAGAAGAAGCCATAGCACTAAGGATATCATTACTGATGTCAGATGGATCCTGACTGAAAGTAAAGAATTCCAGAAGAATGTTTATATGTGCTTTATTGACAATGCAAAGGCATTTGACTGTGTGGATCATAACAAGTTGTGCCTGACATTGAACAGAGTGGGAGTCCCAGAGCACTTAATTGTGTTCATGCAAAATTTATACCTGGACCAGGAGGCTGTTGTGCAAACAGAGCAGGGGAACACTATATGGTTTAAAATTAAGAAAGGAGCGTGCCAGGGTTGTATTCTCCATACCTTTTCAGTCTGTATGCTGAGCAAATTATTCAAGAAACTGAACTCTATGAAGAGGAATGTAGCATCAGGATCGGAGGGAGACTAATCAATAACCAGCATTATGCAGATGACATAACCTTGCTTACTGAAAGTGAGAAGGACGTGAAGCATTTGTTGCAGAATGAATATAGCCTTCAATATGTTAATATAGCATCTCAATGTCAAGAAAACAAAGATTGTTACCACTGGACTGATAGGCAACATCATGATAGATGGAGAGGAGACTGAAATTGTCAACAACTTCATCTTACTTGGATCCACAATTAACACCCTTGGTACCAGCAGTCAGGAAATAAGGAGACACATTGCACCGACAAAGGGTGCAGCTAGGGACCTCTCCAAGTTATTGAGGATTAATGATGTCAGTTGAGGACTAAGGGGTATCTGCTTCAGGCTATGATCTTTCTGATCACTTCCTGTGCATCTGAGAGCTGGACAATGAATAGGGATGACAGAAGAAGAATTGATGCCTTTGAACTGTGGTGTTGGAAAGAGCGCTGAACATCTCACGGACTGCCAAAAGAACCAGCAAATACATCTTGGAGAGGGTGCAGCCAAAGTGCTCTTTAGAGGCAAGGATGATGGGGCTTCGCCTCATACACATCAGGCATGTTGCTAGGAAGGGCTATTCCTTGGAGAAAAACACGATGCTCAGAAGGGTGGAAGGTCGGCACAGAAGACCCTTGACCAATGTACTGACATGGTGACTACCACAATGGGCTCTAGTGTATCAGGAAGTGTGAGGATGGCACAGGATAGAACAGGGTTCAGATCTGTTGTTCACAGGGTCACTATGAGTTGTACCTGACACAATGGCACCTAACAACAACAAAAAAAAAATTTTTTTAAAAATAATAACAAATATTGTCTGTACTAAACTATGTGCTAAAGCTATAAATTCTGCAGATGTCCAAATAAAGAAAGCAGTAGAGAGCAGTGATTTTGCTGCTCAAATAAATAAAGGTTTATATTCAATTTTAAAAACAAACAAATGAAAACATGAATTATAAAAAGTGTGTAAGATAGATGAATCATAGATCTTGAATCAGTGTTTGTGAAAGACTATATGTTGAGATAGCCACCTTTACAGAAAACACTAACAATACAGATATAGGAGCTAAATAATATGTTGATGCAAATTAGGATAGAAGTATTTATGGCATATTAGGTTTGGAAGCAGGAGTGGCATCAACTTCCTAAAAAGATACTCTAAGAACTCCACATATTGGGTAAAGTGTAATTCATTACTGAATAAACTATTTTTTTCCTTAATATCTTTAAACATTATTATAGGTCACTATTTAATCCCACTATTTGAAAAACCCAATTACATTGAGACACTTGATTTGACTGCTCAGTTTTAAATCCTAATGTCTACAGGTGGTATTAGAATACCAAAATGTGTTTGCTGAATTGGAACTTTGATATTTTAAGCAATGTGAAATGAGTGACAACACCTAACAATAAAAACAACAAATGAGTGACAAAATGTCAACAGATGCTCATCAAAATGTTTTGTTAAGAATTATAAACTCATAAATCATAGACTAAGACATTGGAAGGATGGAGGGAGGCACAGGAGAGGAAGACTCAAGATGAGATGGGTTGACACAGTAACTGGGGCAATAGAGGTAGGTGTGTCAGAGCCATGAGACTGGCTCTGCACAGGGCTGGTTTCAGAGCTGCTGTCCTGTATGGTCTATGATGAGTATAGTCTGTGCTGTATTCTATGGTCATTATGAGTTGCAGGTGACTCAACAGCACATAAATAACAACAATTTCTTAATACTCTTCAGTACTGTTTTTCAAGATTTCACTGG